TTTAAAAATCTTTAATAGTGGGCCAACATATAGTGCTGAACTATGATAGTTAATCATTTGGTATCTAACACTCCAATGAATTATCCAGTAATGTTGTGCAAATAGAATCTAATGAACATGAGATAAAGTCAAAATTGAAGATCAAAGTTATAAAGTAAATTCTAAAATTGTATCAGCGCCAACCTTTTCGATCTTGTTGACACCAATTGCTTTGAATAATTTATAAACTTTATTTGCCTTTTTGATCCTTTTTTTCAAAGTAGAAATTATTTGCATTACAAATATAATTAACAAATCTTATATCAGATAGAATAGTAAAAAGTGAAATGAGTATTTCATAGTTTAAAATACTGTAGATAAAAATAATAATATTTAATAAAATGTTATACTGTACAGTACTGCAGTAGTAAAACTATTAAGTGTTATACACATTTTATAATAATGGAAAATATATTACTTATGCTTACTAATACGAACCTTGTCAAGGGTAAATTTGTTGTACATATTGTTGAGTGTTGAAGGTATTTGTGATAGCCATTAATTGTAATAATTAAATAACTTCACAACACAAAATTTTTTCTAGCAGTGTTTAAATTTTTTTCTGTGTATAATATCTTTTGGAGCCCAGGTGCTTTAAAACTATGCCAAGTTCATTGTTTAGGTGGTGGTAAAAAACTATTCCAGCTTTGCAATGCTTCTGGTTGTAAAATAATAAAAAAAAATTTTTTGCAAATCTACGATCTAAACAACGGATTTTTTACATGCCATAAGAGGTTATAAGGTCATAATTAGGGCTCTGCTCTACCTTGTTTAGTGCTTCGAGGGTGCGTCGAGTGTAGCCCGGATTTGCATGAGGAGAGTATTTTTCTGTGTTGTGAATACAAATAGAATTTTCATAATTAGAAATTTTACTTTGTGTTTGCAAAGCACTAAAACGAGGTAGGACGGCTGTTAAAAATCGAAAAGACCTCTGCAAGTGCCGTGTATGAAAGCTCTAATCATAATTTATACTTAACCAACAGTCATAGCAAGTCATACCAATCAACACTGTTTGAGTCAAAAACTACCACCAAAAAAACTAGATGTGGCCCATACGCCTATACTAAACTTGTCAACAATTATCGAAATTAGATGATTCGGGAGATCAAGAAAATACCGTTATTTTATTAATCGAGCAAATACTGTAATTGGATCCAATAACTATACAGTATAGTTGACCAATTTTCAGAGTTAATCTTGAAAAATATAGTTCGTATAAGAAATTGTTTCAATGTATTGTACTGTACAGTACATGTATATAAAATCCATTAGGTTTATATTATAAACTTGTTATATACTAAGTTTACTAATAATAGTGAATATAAGTTCACTTGAATATTGTATCAATTAATAATCTTGGAAATGTAAACGTTTTTTTTTCGAGCTTTAAACACTCGGAATGTGAAAATCGTACTTGATAATGTATAAAATGTAAAACATGTTAGCTTTCGTCTTTTTTTTTTTTTTTTTTTTACCAGATAACTATTGTTAATGATAATAATTCATTGATTTATTACTTTGTATAATGTTAATGTATACAGTGAATATACAGAGTGTGAGATACTGAATCTAAAGCAAATATTTGGTTAAGGCAAGAGAGTATGCATGCTTATTGAAATTCCATCTATTATGTTCACTTTTTAAAAATCATTTACAATTTCTACATTTCCTTTTGCCGGATCATAATCTGGATCTTGTGATTCGTTATCAGATTCCTCGCCTTCAGGTTCTTTTTCTTCAGGTTCTTCACTTTCTCCGTCTCTTTCCATTTCTTTGGGTTCTTTTTTCCTATTTTCTTCCTTGGCGTCTTCTAAAATCTCTTCAACGCTTGTAATTCTATATGCTATAAAATAAAAAAATGAGTTATTTTTTATAATTGTTTATTATTACTGTATTTGTAAATATATCATATGACGCCAATAACTTACCCGTGCGCTACGTGATAAATTCAAATAATATTAATTATCGTTATTGTTATACATGAATCATAATTAAAAAACGCGAATAGACCGTTTTTTTTTTTTAAATCATCAATTCACCTTATGTGTGTGCAAATTTTCAATAACGACCCTAGGATTATCTTCGCTAGCTTTAACTCTTCTGTGAGAATCTCCAACGATCTATCAAAACATATATAAATTGACCATAAAATCTTTGATAGAAAACAAAAAAACATTTTTATCTAAAATTTTATTATAACCTCAGGTTGAGTGATTATTTCTTTCACGATCCCTTCAGAAAGGTGAACGCTATTACCGATAGGATGATATTTAACTTTTTGTCCAATTTTTAAATCTTCCTTTTTAATGACTGTCTTAACTTTTTCGTCAGATTCTTGAGCTGGCATGTTTTTAAGAAAAAGATTTCAATATATTAATTGATGAATATAATTGAAGAATTATTCTATTTTGTTTATATGTGACTTTTTTTTTTTTTACAAAGTATTGCAAAAATAGTAGTCTAAACAATGAAATTATGAAATTGTTCGACATCATATCCTGTTACATTTGTCATATTTTATTCAATGATATACGCACATACGTATGTTTATTTTCAATTCTGCACAATTTAACGTAGCTATGAACGCATACTTATTAGAATTGCGTTTTTTAAAATTCCGAAATCATTAGCCAACTAATGCTTTAAACTTCATGTTAACCTGATGTTCTGATATTTATGCAAACTTGAATTTTTTATACTAATTCGTCTTTATTTGATATCAAAATTCCCTTAAAATAAGCCTGAAAAATGTTAATTATTTTTTTATTGTTATTTTTTTTGTACATATTATTGTAAATTATAAACAAAAAAAATTATCGCTAATCAAGCGAATTAAATTTTAATAATTTTCGCTAAAAAAATAACCTAAATATGCACACCATTACTTTTTGTTGGTCTAGAAAATAATCTAAAAAATTTTTTTGGAAAATGAATCAATAATATGAATAATGATTAATATTATATACTTTGCTAAAATATTTTTAAAATTGTGATTTTTGAAATCGCTTGTTATTATAGATGACTTTGATGATAATTGAAACATTACTAAAACCAAAAAAATAATGATTAATTTTTCTTGAGGTGTAATTTATCTAATTTATTAGTGACGGTGGAAAGTTCGACTTGATTAGGGATATCTTCCAGATAGGTCGATCGATATTTAGATACTATTA